CAGCCCCCAGAGTCCCCCACCGAGGGGGGCGGGGGGGGGATTCCGGGAGGTTGAAGGCCACACATCTTAAAGTGGCCAAGGTTGAGAAACACTGTTCTAAAGTGTCCAAAGTCACAACAGACCTACCTGCAGACCTGTTAGAATTCGGCAGCATAAAGTGCTTTGGACGATGCACAGATGCACAGCACGGCCCACAACTTCTGTTTCTGCAAAAATACATGCTCTTCCTAATAATGTGGTTCTTTTAGCATACATGGCATTAAACTGCAGACCTGGCCCTGAGAACTACATTAGCCAGATACTGCGACCAAGTAGTAGATTTGTAAAGACAGATGCATATCGACACATAACTTACAGCTATTTGGCTGCTTACTGGCCAACAGGTCATTAGACCCCGTCAAAAGACCCCGTGCAGCTCTTTTTCTAATGTGTCCAAATGACAGGATAGCAATAGGAAAGCTTGGCAGAGTTACTAATAAGCCGCTCGTGCCATGATGTGTCTAAGGCAAGTTGATTACAAAGTAAGTCACATCTGGAAGCAACTCTACTCTCCTTCCGTCTTTTTAAGATGGAAGGAACATACATGTTTCTACTAGTCCATCAGGGTACCTTGTGTATACTCTTGTCAGAGATCTGAAGCTAATCAGATCTTTCTGTATATGAACAGGGAGGAACTTCTATTGCACATCCTTTCTTTTTCCATACTTCTCTGTTTGGCATGCCTTATTTCACTCTCACTGTATCTCACGTTGCTTTTCATGAGGACCGTAGGCAGACCTATTTCCTTCATTGACAATAATATCCTTAATCTGGAAAAGTTGCCCATTTATAATACTCTCTTTGGTTCTTATTCATTCTAGCTATTCTGAACTTCAGTTTTTAGATTTGTTACGTACTTACATTTTGCTTAATTTTTCCTTTTTTAAAAATTTCAAACAGCGCAATCTTGTCTTCCTATTTCTTGGATGAAAAGCTCAATGTTCATGGAAAGCTGGGCTGTGTGTTAAGCATTCTGGGTTCCACAGTGATGGTGATTCATGCTCCTGAAGAGGAACAAGTCACATCATTGGATGAAATGGAAATAAAACTAAAAGATCCAGGTATGTCTGCTAGAGAGCTATCATAGAATGAATCCCTACTGTGCAAGTGTTTGTCATGAACATATTTAGATTTATTTATTTTATTTATTTATTTTTCAAATTTGTATGCCGCCCATCTCCCCCAATGGGT